ATATAAAATATAAAAACTCTTTAAATATAATAAAACTTCATATAACCTTACCATATTGTGATGCCTGCGGCAACCACATGTGACGACCCCGGGCTGGACTCCGCTTCGTCCACGGTGAAAGCCGATCCGGCAATCCACAGCGCGAAGTTGATGTATTTCCTCAGCAACCAGCACAGATCAGCTCCAGGCATGACAAAGCGATATCGTCCTCTTTTGGAAGACCAAACAAAGTAGTTTCGCTTTCACAACGAAACACAGCGCCTTCACGACATGGCGGCGGCGGCGGCAACAACAAAACTACAGCGAGAATAAAAGTTACGCCTTCTTTCTTTGCGTGAACATTTGAGGGCATTATGCAAATCTTCCCACACTGTGATGTAGACATGTGGGAGCGTGTTAGAACGAGCCGTTTTAGGTAGGTGTGGTTGACTCTTAACTTTTATAAAGAATATCTCTTTGGATTTAAGACTTTAGTCTTTGCAACTTTACAGATCTTCTTTATGCACCAAGAGCTTGTAACACTCCAAAGAGAAAGGACAAATTGAAATCGCATCATATGACCCCTTTAACTTCTCTATCCCTTCACGAACTGCTGCGGCCTGAAGTTCAGCCAGCAGATCAATCTTCCCACTCTCTTCAGAGGAGGAAACATCAGCGCTGGTAGAGGTGTAGCCTCCGCTGGACTCCAGATCTGAGGGTCTACTTTCTGCAGATGAGAAATATCCTCAGTGCTGGAGGGGGAGCTCTGCTCTCCAGTGATGTCTGCGAATAGATAATAATACAGTTCTGTTGTGCAAATTACAACTTTAACTTCAGGTAAAGGTACTTTAATAATCATACTGGATATGTGACTTACCTTACTCCTGATCACACACTACACCTGTATGCTGTTTCTCCCGCTCTTTTACAGCTGTTGACTGTTGTAACGCAGTGCGTCATAATAAAGCTTCCGTCTCAAACGTTCTATTCTCGCGCTCTTCTGCAAATGAATCAGATGCTTCTTGGACATGACCAGGTACAGAACGAGTTTAATGTTTATTTCTCGGTTGCACATTGGTAACAGTGTAAATGGAGAAATGTTATTTATTTAGTTCGTTAGTCAGTTTGTTAGTTCGTCAGTCACCCACACTTTTAATAGTTCGATATTTAAACAAGCTTCAGAAACCGTGGTCAAAATGGCGGGAAAAAGCACAGAAACAACAACAAAACACAATAAAAATATAATTTGTTGTAGATGTCCGTTTTTTCACCTCCTTATTGGTTAATTTAATTTTGTTGTATTATTGTACTTATGCAGAGCACGAGCAGCATACCACTGTGTCCCTGATAGTTTACAGTAATTTTACTGTAAAATTTCAGCAATGTCGTGTTTTCGCCATACCAAATTCGCGAATAAATAATCGAACAGACTGGTTTGCAAGAAGGTCTGAAATTGTTCGCGATTGAGTTTGTAGCACTGAACCGTTTGCAGAGGTTCCTCACACTGTAACGTGATATTATTTTTACAATCTACTGTCACTGTACTTTAGGAAACAAAACTTGCAAATGCCATATATTGTTTGTCAATGATTAAGAAGCTTTTTATTGCTTATGAACTACTGTACTGCAAGGGCAAACTATTATATCATGTACATAGCAGTCTGGGCAATATGGACACTGGACAAACCAGACATATTATCCATACAACAGATAATAAAATGTATGCATGTTTTTTTTTTTTTTTGCATATTTACTTCAATCATCCAGCCATGCTTTTGGTATTCTAAAGAAGGTACAAAACACATTGGTTCATTGTATGAAGTTATCCTCACCCTGTTATTTCAGAAGGAAAAAAAAGGTCCACAAATATGCTAAAATATTTAATGATTTTGAGCATTTCATACAAAAATCATCCGTCAAATGATAAATAATTTTGGTAATATAAAATACAATTCAAATCTTGGTTTTGATATGTTCCAACAGATATACAAAATGTTATAGTAAGTTTTACTTGTTTTTATGTCCCTAACAATAACATATTTCTATTGTAACAAAGCTGAAAACATTTCAATTACAATATCATGTTTAAAATGAACAAACTGGCTAATCAGGTGTGATATAAACACTATGACTGTAATAATGCAGTATAATGCAACTGAGCTTTAATGTATACATTAGTGTGTTAAATGTTATAATAGTGCAAATACTTTAAAATATCTAAAAAAAAAAGACAAATCTTTAAAAGCAGCAGGGAGGGACGGTACACGCATCTATATGTTCTTAATGACAGCAAAGAGATAATACAGCGCAAACACAGCTGTCAGTTTAAAATGCCCTTCAAATATGACTGTAGGAATTTCAGCATTGATATTAAAGGGATAGTTCACCCAAAAATAAAAATTCTGTCATTAATTACTCACCCTCATATCGTTCCAAACCCGTAAAACCTTCGTTCATCTTCGGAACACAATTTAAGATATTTTTTCTTTGAGATTAAATGAACTAAAATCCACAAACTTGTTTCAAAACTCTGTGTTTATCCAGACTCTTCTGCTTTTCCGTTGCGTCTGCGTGTCTCGAGGCTGGATTCTTGCTCGGTTCTTGAGGTCATGGCAGTTCCCACTTTGATGCCCTCTGGGCTTGAGCTGTTATTGCTCACGCCTTGTGTGATTTCTTCTCTCGGCCTCTTCCAAGAGGGGCGAGTTGCAATCCAGAGAACAAGACCACCAAATGCAGCAATGAGCAGCCCAAGAACATTTACCAAAACAGCTTCCGGTGGAGATTCTTTATAAGCAGGGCTCTTCCTGTAAGACATTACAAACAACACTAAGAAACACCTTTACTAAGTACAAATTTGCTTTGGCTTTTAAAGCGCACAGAAACTGATTACATGTCATGTACAGATCCAGGAATCAATGCATTTGTATGGTTTGTGTTGTCTGAAGCTGTACTTACAGGCTAAATATGAGTTTCTCTGTGATGCCCATGAGAGCTGTGGCTATAACACTGGTGAAGATGAACAGGCCGCTGTAGATGTGTACAGGCATGAGAGCAGCACGCACGTACACTGGAGTTGCAGGTATCAGATAGACGGCAATGCCCATAACTATCTAATAAATAATAAGAGAGAGGAACACATCACACCTGAGATGGCTCTAACATAAACGTTACAAAATTTTAATAAAAAATAATATATAATAATAAAAACACACACACACACACACACACTACTGGTCAAAAGTTTGGAATAATTACCAGTTTTTAAAACATTTTTATATGTTCTAATATGCTGCTCAAGAAACAAGATTTAAAAAATTCTAATAATACTTTTATTGAACAAGGACATATTCAACTGATTTAAAGTGACAGTAAAGACATTTATTTAATGTGATAAAAGATTTTCTTTTTTTTTCAAATAAATGCTGTTCATTGAACTTTCTATTCATCCAAGAATCCTGAAAAAAAAAAAGTATCATGGTCTCAAAGATTTTAATGTAGCAAAAACTGTTTTCCTGATAAAAGACGTTTTCCTGTTAAGAGACGACCTCTACAGCCCTGAATGCCAGCGGAGACCATGGGTGCGTCTCAATCAGCTCCCTAGCTTCCGAGCTCGTGAATCAGTGTATCGTGTACACGAATTTGGTCACTGGTAAGTTTCCTGGCTCACTGCACATTGGGACAGTGATTACTCCATTTCCGGTGACATGACTACGTACAACATTAACGGACAACACTGTAGAACGTCACCGCTAGATTTAATCAACAACAGGCAGGATCAATCTCTTTTTGATATTATTTTTTATTCTCTTTAAACGCATTGTTCTTTTACATGTTCTTACAACATTTCAGCCGAATATGAATAATAATTGTTAACTAAATGTGTTCATTACCTGTCTAGCGATGTGTGTTTATGTTGAAATATACAAAAAAAAACAACTCGTCTTTTCAAATCTTCTATTGCGTGTCATTATATTTATCGAGTTGGTTCGTGTGGTTTAGCACTTCAGAAATGTGACATAATTTCCGGTAAGGGAACATAGTGAGCACCGATGCTCCCTAGTTTTTGCGGAGCACTGTGGGATTTTTCTGGGAGCGAACGTTCCAGTGCACTGGAAGGATTTCACGATTGAGACAGCCCTTAAAATAATGCAATGAGCCCCAAGAAGCCGTGGTTTACAGTGAATTTATTACAGCTAAGGGGCGTTGTTAGGCACGACGCGAAGCATCACCTCGTCGGCCATCGGCACAAGACCACGGGAACCAGACGAGTCCTCTGCTCAATCTGACGTGTGCTGCAGCCTGGAATTAAACCACACCATGCTGGTTTCATCTGGCCAGAGGAGAACTGGCCCCCTGACTGAGCCTGGTTTCTCCCAAGGTTTTTTTTTCTCCATTTCTGTCACTGGTGAAGTTTTGGTTCCTTGCCACTGTCGCCTCTGGCTTGTTTAGTTGGGGACGCTTAATTTCTGGCAACATTGTTGACTTGACTGCACAGACACTATTGCAAGAGAGGCATCACTGAATTATCAATGAACTGACTTTTCTATTGTCCTCTTGCATTATCAGCACACGTTTTTCCTGTTTGACACTGTAAAGCTGCTTTGACACAACATGAATTGTATAAAGCGCTATATAAATAAAGGTCACTTGACTTAACTTGACTTTTCAACATTGATAAGAATAACCATTATTGATAACTGACCACCAATAATAACTGATAATAACTGAGCAGCAAATCAGCATATTACAATGGTTTCTACATGCGATGCTGAAGACTAGAGTAACGGCTGCTAAATTTCAGTTTTGCCATCACAGAATGCCATGGTTTCAATTAAAAATGATATTAAATGACATTTTTAAATATATTCAAATAGGAAACTGTTGCTTAACTTGTAATAATATTTCACAATATTACTGTTTTTGTAAAAAAAAAAAAAAAAGTTACAAATTGTTGAAAAAAAAAAATTCCAGCCTTGGTGAACATAAATGACTTCTTTCAAAAAGATAAAAGAAATTCTTAATTATTCCAATCTTTTGACTAGTAGTGTTTAGGGTAGATGACAGATATAATTTAAATACCGTATTGAAATCTCAAAGACACTGTAGCAAAAACAGCATGTATTATTACATTTTACTAGTCAGAAAGAGGGTGGAAATGGTCTAAATTAAATTTGTAAAGTGTAAGTACTACTGTTTTTGATGAAAGTGGACTGAATGTGGCAAAAGTGTAGGAGGGTTGAAGTGGTAGATGTAGCAGTGTGTCTGTGAAAGCAAACCTGTGTTGGGTAGAGTATGACAGTAGCCAGGCCAATCCAGCTGTGCAGGCTGTACATATTGGGAATGTTCTTTGCATTGTGGAAATCAAACACAGCCACCACAGAAATGACAGCCAAGATGAAGGCGAGAACATTCAGCCCTGCATGGATAAGCTTCATCATCTGCTTGCTGCACCTCCAGGTCCATGGCAGCCTGTACACTACAATTGCTGAAAAAGAAAATCTGTTTTTTTTTTTTTTAACAATGCAATCTCGACTCAATACAGCAGTGTGAAATAAAACATTCTAACATATTTGTAGAGCGATGATTCCCAAAATCATGGGCATTTTTATAAATACATATTTTAAATACATTCCAGCTAAAAGGAAACGTTCTCAGAACTTTGTCCAACATTCTTGCAAGATATAAACAAACGTTCATCCAGTAACAATAGTAAAACGTTGTTCAAGGTTATTTGGTCTTTAATAATGTTCTCGAAACGTTATTTATACATCATTCAAGGAGCGTATTTTTTTTTTAAAGGGGTCATATGATGTTGCTAAAAATAACATTATTTTGTGTATTTGGTGTAATGAAATGTTTATGCGGTTTAAGGTAAAAAAAAACATTATTTTCCACATACTGTACATTATTGTTTCTCCTCTATGCCCCGCCTTTCTGAAACGCGTCTCCTCAGCGACCAGCACGGATCAGCTCTAGGCATGACGAAGTGGATATCGTCCTCTTTTGGAAGACCAAACAAAGTAGTTTTGCTTTCACAACGAAACACGCAGCGCCTTCATGACATGGCGGTGGCTGTAACAACAATACTACAGCGAGAATAAAAGTTACGCCGTCTTTCTTTGCGTGAACATTTAGGCGGCGTTATGCAAATCTTCCCACATCATGACGTAGACATGGTTACGTAGGCGTGGTTGACTCTTAACTTTTATAAAGAATATCTCTTTGGATTTGAGACTTTAGTCTTTGCAACTTTACATATCTTCTTTATGCACCAAGAGCTTGTAACACTCCAAAGAGAAAGGACAAATTGAAATCTTGTCTTATGACCCCTTTAATTGTTTCAGCTTTACGTTCCTCTAACGCAGTGGTTCTCTGCTCTGTTCATTATGTATATCTCACTTTATTGACTCTCAGTTCAGTTCATGGATCTGTCTATTAACGAGCTGATGAAATGAATCAGGTGCGTTAAATAAGGACATAAAACGTGCAGAGCAGTGGGACTGGAGTTGAGAACCACTAACGTACATTTGTTTCAGAAAGTAACGTTTCCATAATGTTTGCAAATTATAAAATGGAACGTCTCTGGATGTTTTTTTTTCTAACGTTCGCAGTAACAAAAAATAAATAAAACGCGTTCTGAACGATCAGCGAACATCTAGATATAACGTTTTCATAACTTAATGAGAACGTTAGCGCAACGTTCTACATATTTTTGTTAGCTGGGATGAGTTAAAAGAGGACATGTAAAAGTTCAGTACGGTTTGATGCACAGCCACCATCTTTATCTCAAATTTTGTCCGAAAAGTCAGCATAACTTCACATTTACATAACTAAAATGGTTAGGCTACTTTATGAGTAACTGTAGTTTTGTTGTAGTACTGTGACCTGTTACTTTAAATCGTGATCAAAGATTCAGGAATGCGAAACCTTTTCTGATTGAAGTGTAAACATTCAAACTCCTTACCGACTCCCTGAAGAAAAATAAAGCCTATCACCATTAACAACGGGTGCCAGTTAAACTCCGCCGCTCCTCCGTCCCAGCCGAGCCCCTCTCTGAAGTGTAAAACCCACGTTAAAGCGACCGCGATCGCCACAAACCCGAGCGCCAGAGCCAGAGTGAAGACAACGAGAAACTGCTTGTAGTTCTCCATCCTCGCAGTCTGCAATGAACTCATGCGACTACAGCAGGGCAACAACACAAGACACGTCGGACGGGGGGCTGGGTCCCTTTTGCACTTTCTCGCCCAAACAAGAGGCGCTGTCTTAAACCCTAGTAAGCTGCCTATCTGGGCAGCATTGCTGGGAGTCAAACTGCAGCTTCGGATGATGCCTGTCATACTCAAAATGCAGTCTAGGTAGGAAGCAAACTAGGTTTGGACCTTATCCATGCCCAAAATGCTACATGTGAAGCTTATAATGCCCAGTAACACCTACTATTTTGTGGGCACATTAAGTTTAGACTTATAATGCTGTCCAGGTAGGCAGCTTACTAGGTTTTGGGACGGAGACTTCTTTCTTTTCCTTTTTTTTTATTCCAGCACTATTTTGTAACTAACCACAGTAAACATATGCAACATCACTAGTTTCACAATGACTACAAGAGAGTATTGGTCACAAACTAGTCGTTATTAGTAAAGTTACAAGCAAATAAAATAACTAAACAGAAAAGTGTTTCAAGTTCAATTCCATCAAGGAATAAATGTTTGTTCAGGGCCGTCATTATTCAATCCAAACGACTGTGAAAGATTCATATATTTAAAAAGAAATGTCTTTTGAGTCCTCAAAAATCCAAATAGAAAAATTTAATAAAAGGTTGTTTTTTTTTGTTTTTTTTTGGAGAAATGCACTATAGTTCATTATTAATCATCACATACAGAAATATGAAATGTGCTCATGGTTAATCCGAAGCTCATTTTAGAAACATGGCAGCAGAATGAGTTATTTTTCTCCTGGACAGTGTGAATAATCGTGTCTCTATCAAAGTAAACCTCGTGACTGTAGGTCTGGAAAACAACGTAGAGAGGATGTTGGGTTATGACAGATAGAGTGAATGAGATCTAAAAACAGAGACATTCATTTATTCATGTCATACCACATCCCATGGCTCTTTTAGAGGAACTCTCTTCATTAAAAGCCCCGTCTTATTGTCATGTAGATGAAGATGGGCCTGTCCTTCATCTTCAGTCTGAGTGATGTCTACCACAGCCAACAGATCAAGTTCATCTTCATACTTCACCATTCTGAATGTCTAGATAAGACCGTCAACTTACTACATGCAAATGTCAAAGTAAAAACATAGCAGACCATCTCAGAGATGCACTAGAGTGAGTTCACTCAGTCAGACACCTCTATGTACATTCTTAGACAACATTTTAAAAAAATTCAGTTTCCAATTAGAATCAAAAATTGCTTTTACAGGGTTTGCCACATGAGAACAATGTTTATAGTGATAGTTCAGGTAAAAAATGAAAATGTTGTCATCATTTACTCACCATCATGTTCCAATACTGTAAGTTGGACATACATATCCAGCTTTATATAAAGAGCTGGACGATAATAGTCACATTTTGCAATTAAATAAAAAATCATACAGTTGAAATTAGCTATATAGTACATTATATATTGCTTTACGTGAGTGTACTGAATATATGCTAATAAAGTTGTATATAATATACACCCAACTTTAAGCTGCCTGATTGTATTTTAGATTTCTGCAATTACATAATCAAGAAAGAAATGTTCCAAAACCTGGTAACTTGTTCTTCTATGGAACATATTCCAAGAGATGTTCATACAGTGAAAGCATACATTGATCAAGGTCAACATCTTAAAAAAAAAAAAAACCCTCTCTAAAAATACCAGAAAAGAATTGTACATTTTACACAAGTTTTTTTGTTGTTGTGTGTTTTGTATCATACGAGTTTGAAACAATATCAGGGCGAGTAAATAATGTTTTCATTTTTGGGTGAACTTTTCCTTTGAGTGCCACAAAAAACTTTTTAAGTTCCTTAGAAAGTAAAATATGCTCTGGTGCTTTAAAAAATTCAGATACCAATACACTGATCTGAAGGACCCTAAATATAAAATCAAGATTTGTTCTCACTCAGGAACTCTATACAGGCCAACAGTTCTCTATACAGGGTTTCTGTAGGATTTTCAAGCTCAAATTTAAGACTTTTTAAGACCTGCACAAATACATTTAATACCATATGAACGGGGTAGGGCAATGTCTACAGTAACATATTAAACTGTAAAAGCATGATTATTCTTCTTATCGATCCACCAGTTCACATTTACAGCTCTGTGTGTTTGCAGGGTAAAAACATGGGTCGATTTTCACATTGGTCTGAACAAAAACAGCCCCAATACTGTGTTCCTGCAATACTGGAGGCTGCAGTTTCAGGACCGCATTTCTACTAGGACCCTTTTTTGTGACAGCGCCATCTAGCCAATTCTACTCCAACAGAGGAGACCTGATTCAAACATCAAACAAACAGATGCAAAGACTAGATCCATGGAAACTATTCATTTTTTATCTTTCCATCTTATTTCTGATGTAAGAGCTGGCGTGAACTTTTTAAAAACTATTTTACATTTATTAATGTACTAATAAACACACTAATTTGTACCACAATTGTTTTACCGTTTACTGCACTTAAGTGCGTCAGACATCAGACGGGAAGTGCTGCACTGCGGCTAATGAACAAGTCTTGCAAAGACAAAAGTCTTTCTTTCTAAGAAAACAGAATTTAAAACCTAAAAACTATATATATATATAGATCCTATACATGTATAGAGCCTATATATAGAGAGAGAATATATTGAAATAAATTATGTTAACTATTTCAAGAAGGTTACCAACGGGTATGTTTAGAGTTAGGAGTTGGTTAGGACAATAATTAAGTGTATACAATTAAACAACTACATAATTCCTTAAAAATAATAATATACAGAATTGAATAGCAAGTGCTATAGAATAGTATGAGCGGCTAATATATACATACAATAAATAAATAAAAAGAATTCAAAAAACTAGCCTATAGGGTCCTAGAAATGTGGTCCTGAATAAAACAGGCTTACTGAAAATGCACATTCATTCTCTGCCAGCAGGAGGCGCTTTCGGAATGGCAGAAACACAGCGGTAACGACAGTAAACAAAGCCGAGCAGCACCGGACTCTGAAACGCCCAGCTCTCCTGTTTATAAAATCATCGCCTTTTGAAGTTTAATCATCACATTAAGCCATATAGCAATTCTGGTCTTTCCATCCCCAAATTTAAGACCTCCTGAAATCATATTTAAGACTTTCTTGTACAATTGAATACTTTGTAAGGCCTTAAATTTGATACAACTAAATGTATGACTTCTTTTTTAAGACCCCGCGGAAACCCTGTATAAGAAGAGGGATCTTCTCTGCACCAATGTTCTACAAAGAACTATTGAAGCGCCATGATTTGCAGTACCTGCTGAGCTGGGTCATCGTCTAACAACTGGATTCTCCTTTTCACTGCACGGCCAGAAGACATCACAATCACCTGAGGGGCCTGGGAGGAAGAAGAACCACTGATTACAAACCATCCTTCCATGCAGCGAGGGATTTTCACATTGGTCTGAACAAAAACAACCCCAATACTGTGTTCCTGCAATACTGGAGGCTGCAGTTTCAGGACCGCATTTCTACTAGGACCCTTTTTTGTGACAGCGCCATCTAGCCAATTCTACTCCAACAGAGGAGACCTGATTCAAACATCAAACAAACAGATGCAAAGACTAGATCCATGGAAACTATTCATTTTTTATCTTTCCATCTTATTTCTGATGTAAGAGCTGGCGTGAACTTTTTAAAAACTATTTTACATTTATTAATGTACTAATAAACACACTAATTTGTACCACAATTGTTTTACCGTTTACTGCACTTAAGTGCGTCAGACATCAGACGGGAAGTGCTGCACTGCGGCTAATGAACAAGTCTTGCAAAGACAAAAGTCTTTCTTTCTAAGAAAACAGAATTTAAAACCTAAAAACTATATATATATATAGATCCTATACATGTATAGAGCCTATATATAGAGAGAGAATATATTGAAATAAATTATGTTAACTATTTCAAGAAGGTTACCAACGGGTATGTTTAGAGTTAGGAGTTGGTTAGGACAATAATTAAGTGTATACAATTAAACAACTACATAATTCCTTAAAAATAATAATATACAGAATTGAATAGCAAGTGCTATAGAATAGTATGAGCGGCTAATATATACATACAATAAATAAATAAAAAGAATTCAAAAAACTAGCCTATAGGGTCCTAGAAATGTGGTCCTGAATAAAACAGGCTTACTGAAAATGCACATTCATTCTCTGCCAGCAGGAGGCGCTTTCGGAATGGCAGAAACACAGCGGTAACGACAGTAAACAAAGCCGAGCAGCACCGGACTCTGAAACGCCCAGCTCTCCTGTTTATAAAATCATCGCCTTTTGAAGTTTAATCATCACATTAAGCCATATAGCAATTCTGGTCTTTCCATCCCCAAATTTAAGACCTCCTGAAATCATATTTAAGACTTTCTTGTACAATTGAATACTTTGTAAGGCCTTAAATTTGATACAACTAAATGTATGACTTCTTTTTTAAGACCCCGCGGAAACCCTGTATAAGAAGAGGGATCTTCTCTGCACCAATGTTCTACAAAGAACTATTGAAGCGCCATGATTTGCAGTACCTGCTGAGCTGGGTCATCGTCTAACAACTGGATTCTCCTTTTCACTGCACGGCCAGAAGACATCACAATCACCTGAGGGGCCTGGGAGGAAGAAGAACCACTGATTACAAACCATCCTTCCATGCAGCGATGTTCTGCTTTTACACTAAAAATCAGCTGGTATTTCTGGTGTGTTTAAAAATGAAAAAGTTCTAGTATTGATATTGCTATAATATTGCGATGCAACTACAGCTGGTAATGAACCCATAAACATAAATTACTCTATCGTGACGAGCAGCGGTGATGGAGAAGGCTGTGACTATCTCATACTTCCAGTCACATCCTGTTTCAGCCATGATCTTCAGAACACTGTGAGAGAGAAAATTCAAAATGACAATCGCAGAGAGAAGCAAAAGCTACATGGTTTAATACTCTCATTGTTAATGTTAAGGTCGTGGTTTCACATTCACTTGTTTATGCTTGTTCAAGGACACTGTTTATATGTGACCCTGGACCACAAAACCAATTTTTTGAAATTGAGATTTATACATCACCTGAAAGCTGAATAAATACGCTTTCCATTGATGTATGGTTTGTTAGGATAGGACAATATTTAACCGAGATACAACTATTTGAAAATCTGGAATCTGAGGGTGCAAAAAAAATCTAAATATTGAGAAAATCACCTTTAAAGTTGTCCAAATGAAGTTCTTAGCAATGCATATTACTAATCAAAAATTAAGTTTTGATATATTTACGGTAGGAAATTTACAAAATATCTTTATGGAACATGATCTTTACTTAATATCCTAATGATTTTTGGCATAAAAGAAAAATCGATAATTTTGACCCATACAATGTTTTTGGCTATTGCTACAAATATACCCCAGCGACTTAAGACTGCTTTTGTGCTCCAGGGTCACATATAGGAATATTCAATGTGCAGCTTTGTCTCTCTTGCCATTTATATAATAATTATTATGCTCACTTTATTGTGCTGAGCCCAGCATGAACAATTCGACCCGAGTCATCTGGGTGAAAAAAGATCCAGTCTGCTTCTAGAGAGTCACATTTCATGTCCTGGACGCCATTCTTAGCCTGATGTGTAAAGATGACATATTACTGGGTTAGATAGACAAGGTCTTTACACACGAGTCAAGCCAAACTGATTAGTATAGCACTTTTCACAATACATACGGTTTACTTAGTACTATGTATCACCCTACGCAAGTATACTGTATGCATGCAGATAAAGTTGAACATACTTACATATCCAACTTATCTGCAATGATATAAACAAGAAAAACTTTAATTAAATGCCACTTATATCAGTTATTGAAGATAAGTAGTCTTGTTCATAAAACCAATGGTTATTTTAGTACCAAAGACTCAAAACATTCATAAGTTTGCTGTGTAAGATAAACCTAATACTGTTTGTCTTGCCCTAAGAGATAATAATATGATAATAATTTTAACTAAAATGCAACATGTAGGTAACATACACACTTTAACCTCAGTGCATGTCTAAATATATCGCAGCTTGGCTTTTTTGTTTTTTTTTGCGGGACTGATTTTCCTAAGAATATCTGTAGGAACGAGAGTATTCACCAGTGCTCCGTCTGTGATAGAGCAGATGTGATGGGTTCCTCTGTGCCTCTTGTGGTTGGGAGTGTAGATGTAGTGCCAGGGATGACCTCCGATCTGAACCCCGTTCTCAAAGTATGACATCTCAAACAATACGGGAGGACACTCTGTAGAGAGAAGTGTTGACAACTCACATGAAAACATGAACATGATTTTTTTTTCTGTAAATGTCACACCATCTATGCAGTGCCTAAACATAAATTCAGAAGCACTCTCCAAAGTCTTCTGATACTTGAAGGTAATACGTGTCTTGTAATTGTTTTCATTTTTTCATACAGAGTCAATCATAAGTAAGCCATCCAATTGATTCCCTTTTAAAAAGTATAAACACTACGAAGTACATCATGCGCATATGTTTTGCCAGTGTTCAAAGATGCATAGTTTTTGGGAAGTTATTTGGTCTACTCTTACTAGATTAGATTGGATTAGATTCAACTTTATCGTCATTGTGCAGAGTACAAGTACAGGGCCAATGAAATGCATTTAGCATCTAACCAGAAGTGCAAATAGCCAATGTATACTGTATAAATAAGCATAAATATATATATATATATATATATATGAAGAGTTTATTTGCAAAAACAGATAACATGAAATGCATTTAGCATCTAACCAGAAGTGCAAATAGCCAATGTATACTGTATAAATAAGCATAAATATATATATATATATATAACAATAAACATTTATGAGGGACAGGTGCAGAGACCAGCTCAATGAAGTTAGCTATGAAATACATTACGAGGTGCAATCTAAATCTACATTAATATAGTGCAATGTGGATACAGTACAGTAGGGTGCAAATGAGAAGTATAAAACACAGAAGGTATTTATTTAGATATATTTATAAGATACCAGACACCCAGAATGTGAATGTTGACCGGAAATATGGAGCTTCTCCCACAATTCCTTTCATCTCACACTGCTGTCCCAGAGCCAACTCCTCAATTCTAAACTGAAGTGAAAAAGAACACATATGGAATAATGACAGAAGAAACAGGGTCAATAAACCAAACAATCATAACAAACAATAATGTTTCCATTACCTTATTAACAATGTACTCAAAACTGTAAAGTTTGACGTGTTTCGAGCTGTGTGATACAGCTAACCCTCCCTGTGACAGCAGCACGTCCACAGCAGTCTTCCCAAAGACCTGAACATAACACAACCCACATATACTGATTCTTTCATTTGAAAATGCTCCAACGTTTCAAAGAATAAAAAAAAGACCTAAACCTTGTTCTGAACCAAATTAACATTGTGATATAAGTGAAGCTAAATTGAAATACATTTTTAAAATATGATAAATAAATTATAAAAATGTATAACCTTTCTCCAGCATTCCTACAAGCTCCAGTAGAAAGACTTGAAATACGGCCACACGCATGAGGATGTTTTTATTAACACCAGCCAGAGAGAGAGAGAGAGAGAGAGAGAGAGAGAGAGTGTGGCCAACTGCATATGGAGCAAGTACAATGCAGATATAAGCCCCAGTAACGTCTGACCTGTCGTTCCAGAGTCGTTTGTTTGCTCTGAATGGATTTGACATATAATGTCTCCTGTGAGGAGTCCCAACCTAAAGATCTGTTAACAAACTCATTAGTACAGCAAAAACACATTCCAGCATACAAACTGTCAAAAGACATTTCAGATATGTTGATGAGATTACTGCGTTTGTCGAAAATTATACTGTAACATGTCACAAAACGCAGCTTGTTAAGTTATTACCACTACTTCATTCTTTACTTTAGTTAGTACAGTTAAAACTAGACAGACAGACAGACAGATAGATAGATAGATATACAGACAGACAGCTAGACAGACAGATAGACAGACAGACAGGCAGACAGACAGGCAGACAGACAGACAGACAGACAGAGACAGACAGACAGACATATAGACAGACAGACAGACAGACATGCAGATAGACAGACAGACAGACAGACAGGCAGACATGGACAGAAAGATAACCTGAATTTGAATTGAGAGGAGAGGTAGACCCGCTCTAGTGTTTTTCCTGTGTCAGCTGAGAGCCGATATAACCAGTTATGAGCTGTCAGAACCAGCAGACATGATTTCTGGTCTGAAGCGTTTGGCAGAACTTTGTCCTGCAAAAATATCAGTTACACACAAAGTTAAAAGGGGCATTTATTTTGCATAGGCAAATACGAATGATGTGCAGCAGCTGATCAAACTCACTAGAGGACACTGGCATAATAATGCATCTTCAATCTTCTCCGTTTTGGGGGCTTTGGGGAGCTCATACAGCTGTTCTGGCTCAGGCAAATGGCTGTGATTTTTAATAAATGTGAACCATATTAATAGATGTCATATTGTAGCATCACACACAATTTCTGGTAACACTTTACAGTAAGGTCTCATTTGTTAACTTTAGTTAATGCATTAACTAACACCAACTAACAATGAACAATATCTTTTTTTACAGAACATCTGTTAGTTAATAAAAATGTTCATGCTAGTTCACAGTGCATTAACTAATGTTAACAGATAACAATTTTGACCTTAAAATGTATTAATAAATGCTGTAGAAGTATTGCTCATAGTTAGTTCATGTTAACAAATGAAACCTTATTGTAAAGTGTTACCAATTTCTTTACCAGTGTCTAAAACTAATAACATCAGATTATATAGTTTACCTGCTGTAACAACACCTGCAATTATCAAAGTATATCCGTCCACTTTCATAAGCGATGAGGGACTTGGAAGTCTTGCTCCAAACCTTTGAGAATTCTGCACCATCCTATAAAGTCATGACATAAATTAACATCAAGCAAATGCATATATATATATATATATATATATATATATATATATACACACAGCAATACTTACTTGGAGAATGATGTTTCTCAGGATCTTAAGATTTGCTCCCAGTAATCTGCCAATGTCACTGGAGCAGGATCCACTGGATCTCGAAGTCAGCAGATCACAGCTGTTTTTACTCGCAGGGGGGCGCTGCGCACATAGGGGACGGTACTACTCACTCACTCACACCATTCAGAGAAAATACACTGACTAACACAAACCTAAGCAGAATGATCTTCAGAAATGACATCTAAGTAAGTGCTGGGTGAAGTCAATTCTCTGTCTTTTTATATGTAGACTCGAATTCATATTATTGTTATCCAAACTACAACAGTTACTACAGCATTAACGAATATACTGCAGAACATCTGCGTCTTTTGACTTACATAACATAACTTACATAGCAGATAAATGAATTCATTTTGCTCGTATTATAATTAAAGCTACGTTTTCAGTAGACATTATTTGCTACTAAGCTAAGCTAACTGTTAACTGCTAACTTTTCCATTGTTTACACGTATCCTCATATCAAGCATTTCCAAAACTTGGCAAAATTATAGAATATATTCGCATGAAAATCTTACAATTGTCTACTTCTAGCAGTGATTTCTTTGCTTGCTTTGAAATTGTAATCCGCGTACAAACCGGCGCTCACATGTGTTTACAATAACTTCCGGGTGTACGGCATCTGAAGGCGCATGTTTCCGGCTGGGACATGTAGTGTAATACTTCACATTAGTATATAGTGTTGTGTCAAGTTTGTAATCATAATGATTAATTGATGTTCTCAGATGAGGGGGTTCTTGAAGCTGGCCGTCCGTGCTGTGAGCTGCATCCCCCGCAGGCCGTTCAGTGGAGGAAGACCACCCGCGCCGTTAGGAGGAAGAATCCTCACCGACCCCGAGGACATCTTTCAGCATAACATGTGGTAAAGATGACTGAGTTTTGAGGATGCCTATTAGCTGCCCTCAGCAGCCTGCAGTTCTGACTTGGGTTCATATTAGCAAGTTTAGGCGACATATTCAAAGAAAACTCAAACCTGACATCAGTTTAGACTTATGTATTAATTCAGTACAGTGGAATTCATATTCTATATGAGCTCATATTACCTGAGAGACTCTATGTACTGTATATATATATATATATATTTAGTGCTGTCAAACGATTAATCGCGATTAATCGCATCCAAAATAAAAGTTTTTGTTTACATAATACATGTATGTGTACTATATATATATATTTATTATGTATATATAAATACACACACATGCATGTATATATTTCAGAAAAATATGTTATTAAAT